CGGATTCAAATATATATTTTTTGCTAAGAAAAATATGTAACATTCAGTTAGGTTTTATCATCATAACAGTCTCTTTTATCTCTCCGGCACCTGGTACTGCAGGTCTCCATAAATTGTAAGAGGAAGACAAGGGACCGTTGATGTAGGCATAGTAGCAGGAGTTAAACCACCAGCCTCCTTCATATTGTACAGCGCAGTTACCCCCACTGTCTCTGTCGTTATCCCTGTCTAGTGTGGTGAACGACATCCAGACATATTGTTGATAATATATAGAGATTCTACCAAACTGTAATCTGTAGAATTTAAATGCAATAAATTATATCGATAGGTTAATTAAAAAAGCTAGTGTTTCAAAAAGTCTGTGTAAGTCTAGCTGTGTGATTTATACACCAGTTATTCATGCTAATCTTATAACATTCCTAATGCTTAAATTTCTCTTATTTAAATGCACAAAAAATGTAAAACTAACCGTTTGGATTTCTTGCAGCCCCATTTTGTTTTATCTTTTTTAAGGTCCCTAAAGCCCTTTTGTGACGTCACTTTAGCGCATTTCTCCATGTTTATTTCTACGGGTTATTACATGTAATTTGTGAAGATGATTTGAAACTCATTTTTGTATGCACTGTATATACTTTCATCTTCACAGTTGGCTCAGTAGAAAAAAGCAGAAATATAAATAAATATACACTATTAAAAGGGTTACTTGATCCGAAGGGTCGATTCACTTCGAGGTGACAGGCGCGGAACAAACGAGACGCGAAACGTGGAGTGTAATCTGGTCATCCGTGTCTATCAACGAGACGTGATACGGCTCTTCGAATCAAGTTACTGTCATATTGATATATTTATTATGTACACAGAGTGAAGAAAGTTGCTTTGTAAAAAAAAAATATGAAGAAGGCGGACTAAAAATGAAAGATAATTGAGCTTTCACTGCATCACTTAAATTATTTTGGATGAAACACCTTATTCTGTCAGATAAAGGTTTACAAATTTTTTACCTAATCTAGATTTGATAAAACATTAACATGCGGCATTGACTATATTAAAAACATTATGAAGAACCTTAAAAACAAGTTTTGAAAGATGTCTTTGAGGCTTGGATTGAATTAAATAATACACACTATATTGTATGTAAGGAGACACCAATTTTTTATAATCCTAAAATTGTCATTGGTGGGGAAGGTTTTTATAAAATTTATTAATGGCCTTATAGATAAAAATGGTTCCTGTTATTATTATGAGGAATTTTGCGGTATATATCCAAATGTAAGGCTTAATTTCTTAGATTTTGCTGGTATACTTCATGATGTAAAGGCATGGCTGAAAGCAACTGTCACTAATGATATAATTGCAAAATTACCTAACCAACTGATTTTGTCAAGCAATCATATTCTTTCAAAGTTTTAAAAGAAAAATAGTTTTATGAATTAATTAAAGTAAAGATACTGAACCCATTGGGAAAACAAGATGGAATGATAATTTTAATTTAGGAGAAAGCGAATGGAAGAGGATTTTTAAACTTCGATTTAAAATTACTAAAAATAGTAAACTGAAATGGTTTTAATACAAAATTTTAAATAAAATACTAGGTACAAACTCATATCCATCTAAAATAAGGAAAAGAGGTGATAATTTGTGTTCTTTCTGCAATATAAAAGAAGAAACAATAATACATATTTTATGGGAGTGTGACAATTTAAATAAAATACTAGGTACAAACTCATATCCATGTAAAATGAGGAAAAGAGGTGATAATTTAAGTTCTCTCTGCAATATAAAAGAAGAAACAATAATACATATTTTATGGGAGTGTGACAATGTACAGACCTTTTTCAACAGTTTTGAAAGATATTGTAAGCAAATGATAGGGTTGCAACTTTCATTTACAAAGCAAAGTTTTATTTTTGGATTCCAAGTTAAAAGCAAAGATATTGATAACTTGCTGTCCCTATTCATAAAATATCACATATATTTAATGAGATGTTTGGAAAAAAAATAGATGTCAGACTGACGACTTCACATATTAAAGATATTAATCTGCTTTATGAAACTCAAAAATATTTAGCATATGAAAATGGTGACAGCGTTATTTTTGACACCAACTGGAATAAGTGGAATCAATTGTTTTCATAAAATGATGTAAAATGTCTTATGTAAAGGAATTAACATGCCAGCTCTATCTCTCTCTTTCTCAGGAATTAACACGCCAGCTCTCTCTCTTTCTCTCTCTCTCTCTCTCTCTCTCAAAACCAATCTGTAATATATTAAATTGTTTATTATGAATTATGAAACAGATTGTGTAAAATAAATAAAAGATTAAAAAAAAATTATTGTATGCCCCCTTAAAACTATAGCAAACTAAAACTTTAGAAATCAATCGTATAATATTTATCAATAAAACAAAGCAAAATAATAAGGGACATTTAATGCGCAGGAAAAAAAAATCATGTTTCTGCGTTCTACGTCATCAATTTCCTAAAGTAGTGATATAGATTCAGAAAACTACAGTGTGGTGATCCAGAAAGTCGGATGGGGTTACAACTTCTTCAAAGAATCGTTAAAAATCATAAATCTGAGAATTATAGTTACTGTTTGTTTTGTTTACGATTTACTAATATATCTCAGTATATTAAATTAAAAATGGTACATTAAATGAAAACTTGGTTTTGTCTTACTGTCAAAGCAAATATATATATAAACGTCCAAACATAATTTGTTTCAGTCCTAGATGTAAGCAAGATTACCCTTTACGTCACAAGTGTATCATTTTTCTCAGAATTCTAAATTTTGTTATAAATAAATAAATAGAAATTCCAAGTTATATAACAGCTGGCTATAAGGCTTTTGTTTTTTTTTTTTATAACGTGAATTAAAAACAGATAAGAAAAAGGTGTTGAATTGATTTCCAACGTATCGATTGGTGTTCAAGAAAATAACAAATGTAGTTTAAATGTTTAACAACCACGTGAATTATGATATCTATAAAAAAAACTTATATACACGTAAATACAAAAATTTTTATTTATAGTTGTTGATTAGGGCCCCGCTGGAGGGCCAGGTAAAAAAAATATTTTTATTTGTTAAATTTAAAAATTGTTCGGACGAATTGTTATTTGTTAACTTTTGATATTTGTTGGACAAATAAGTTATTTGTTCGGACGAATTAGATATTGTTCAACAAATTAGATATTTGTTGGACAATTAGATATTCGTTCGGAAAAATTAATTTTTTCTGAAAATTAAATATTTGTTGGGACGAATTAGATATTCGTTCGGACATATTGGTTATTTGTTCGGTCAAATTAGAAATTCGTTCGGACGAATTAGTTATTTGTTCAAATTGTTTTTTTGTTGGAAAATTAGTTATTTGTTGGACAAATAAATTGTTCAAAAATAAAATTTTTTCAGAATTAGAAATTTGTTCGGACAAATAAGATATTTGTTCGGGCAAATTAATTTTTGTTCGGACAAATAGATATTCGTTTGGACGAATTAGTTATTTGTTGGACAATTGATATTTTTGGGAAAATTAGAAATTCGTTCGGACGAATTAAAAATTTTGTTCGGACAAATAAGTTATTTGTTGGACAAATTAGATTTTTGTTGGACAAATTAGAAATTCGTTGGACAAATTTTATTTGTACGGACGAATTAGAAATTCGTTCGGACGAATTAGTTATTTGTACGGACTTAAGAAATTGGAACAACTATCAGGACACCGCGAATAATGTGCGGTTTGCACCAAGACGGTTCATTTTATTTTTTTCTTTGAAATAATTTAAATAAAAACATTTAATTTATCAATAAATATTTTGAAGATAAGTCATTTTAATGTTGATTTTTTTTATGATTTTTATGTATGTTTTCACTACCGTGCAGTTATTAATCATGACATGTGAATGATTTTTGAAATACTTTTTGATACCCCGATTTTAGCTGAAATATTGCCGATTCGGCGTAAAACATTAATCAATCAATCTGGTACATATGCGGTGAAAAAATGATTAAAAGGTCCTCATTGAGTTTTTAATTAAATAGTCCTGTTTGTGAATTTAGAAAACTTCACAAAAATGAACCTGTTCTTTTTTTACCCCCAGGTTGTTCATTTGACGCGAGCCGGTGAATTACGAGGTCAACCGATCAATCTGGTATATTCCATGTGTCCATTGATTTTGAGAACATAACTTTGCCCCCTCCCGTTATTAAAATACTAGTACATGTAGTCGAACAAACTATTTAATTTTTCCCTTTTAGCATTTCTTAATTTTGTTCATACGCTTTTATAGTTGAGTACCAGTTCGAAGGTTTGATAGGCCAATGACTCACATAGAAAGGGAAATTATGAAAGCAACCCCTTTTACGGGGGAAAAAAAATCATGAATGAATGTCAAAATATTTCCAAGAACAAACCCCCCCTTCCCCCTTTTTAAAAAACGATCGATTGTCTTAATCATTGAGAACCTTAACTTGCGTTAAATTATGATGTGTTTTTAAATTTTACTGCACTTTCTAGGAACGTACATGTATTCATCTATTTTTATCCTTTTCCCGGAAAGGGGCGTGTGTTTAATTTGGTCAATATTATACTTGCATGTTTTAATTCTGCCCTTTTTTGATATTTAAATATAAAATAAAATTTATATAGATACTTAATAATAGTTTTTAACGACTTTGAAAGAATCCATTAGATGGACTTATGAGATTCCCACTTTTTGTTCCTTTATCACAAAATACTTAAATGTGGGAACAGCGGTATAAAAAGCAAATCTACAAATGTCCTAGTAAAGCCCCACCTTAAAAAAATTAAGACCCTCGAATAAGAGGCTCATATTTTGAGTCCGAAATTTATTCAGTATAATACAAAGCGACGAGATTGTTGTGAAAGGGGGGGGGGTTCTAGAAAAAAATAGCTACCTGAAAAGTTGACAAGCAAAAAAAAAAGGGGGGACTCAGGAAAAATTGCCCAAATTGACAGTCCTATTTAGTAGGGGGTGGGGGGGGGCTTACTTTTTTTTCAATGTAAATTTTTTCCCGTACCAATTGCCTGCAGTAGGAGTAAAACCTTAAGGAGTGGATGTCATCTTTTCAAAAAGAGAGCGGTAACTGACCACTGGCACCCCAGTGTTAATCAGGGATGGGAGTGAAAAGATGTTGATAAGAAGTAACTGACCCTTTGAATTTACTAGTGGGCTCTTAGAAAATATACTTTCAGAATGGCAGACTTTAGGCCTATAATATATACCGGTATAGATCCATTATTTCCGAATATTTACAATCAACATACCCGACTTTAATATCACATGTCTAGTTGCTACGTGTGTATGTCATGGTCCAAAGAGCTATTTATGCATTAAAAAAGGATGAAAAATTGAATCCTCCTTAATAGACAAAGTGTATATCTCTCTTTACAGGATAATTTGTGCAAACATCTAATTTGCCCGAACAAATATCTAATTTGTCCGAAAGAATTTCTAATTTGTCCGAACGAATATCGAATTCGTCCGGAACAAATAACTAATTCGTCCGAACGAATTTCTATAATTTGTCCGAACGAATATCTAAATTCGTCCGAACAAATACCTAATTCGTCCGAACCAATTTCTAATTTGTCCGAACGAATTTCTAATTTGTCCAACGAATTTCTAATTTGTCCGAACAAATATCTAATTTGTCCGAACAAATAACTTATTCGTCCGAACAAATTTCTAATTGGTTCGAACGAATTTCTAATTTGTCCGAACGAATATCTAATTCGTCCGAACAAATAACTAAATCGTCCGAACGAATATCTAATTCGTCCGAACAAATAACTAATTCGTCCCAACGAATATCTAATTTGTCCGAACGAATTTCTAATTCGTCGGAACAAATAACTAATCCGTACGAACGAATTCCTAATTTGTCCGAACGAATTTCTAATTTGTCCGAACAAATAACTAATCCGTTCGAACGAATTTCTAATTTGTCCGAACAAATAAAAATATTTTTGTACCTGGCCCTCCAGCGGCGCCGTATTAGATATTGAAAAATCGTAATAAATATTTACCGGACAATTATTTTGAAAAAAGATTACATCAGATCTTTATAAAACACAGAAATATGGAGCAAATTTCATTTAAATCATAATAAAAAAAAATAATATAAAAAATAATAACTTTTCTCCCGTTAAGTTTGTTTTTTTCTTAGGTTTTTTTTTATTTTTTTAACCCCCCCCCCCCCCCCCACACACACACACACACGTCACATACACACATTAATAAAAATTGAAATAATTTTAAGAAAAATTCCTAAATATTTAAATTCAAATAAATACAGAAAAAACGCTACTGAATTGGGGGTTCGTTCTCCGGGTCCGCTTTTGGATTCGCTCGGGGTCTTCTACGGTTCGCTTTTTGTTAGGTTGTATCCAGTTAGTACTGTATGAATTTGTTATTAGGATCATTCAAAAAGACATAAAAACAAAATGTTCGGAATATAGGAAAATACATGGAACTTAACGGATTTTTTAGCTTTTTGCTCCGAGGAAAACGTGTGAAAATCTTTAAAATTATGTGCCTTACATTTTTTTGATTAGAATGCGGCACATACGTGCACATTACTGTCGGAAAACATTACATCAGATGAAAATTACGAAAGCTTTTTCATCAATAAATATCATTTCACAGTTATAAACTCTGGATTCCTTCCTGTATGTTATTATCATGTTCCATTTTTAAATTGCAGCCCCCCTCTCTCTCTCTCTGCTTTGAAAATCACAAATCAAATATTCTACTAATTACTTGCCTAAAGTTCCGGTAGCTGGTCCTCCTAGATAAAGTTTGTAGTTGTCTTCTTCACTAGACACAGAGAATTGTTGATATCGTGAGTACAAAGTTTTACCATTTTTTAATGTAATAGAGACGTAGAGGGATGAGTTCCTTCCCTTGGTAAGTTGGTGAATCACGTCATTTCCTTCAATATGATATTGTTTTAGTTAAATAACCCAATAATATAGCAAAACTATGTTTATTTCAGAATTTTGGTACAAACAATTGCAAAAAAATTGCTGTCAACATTCTAAAGGACACGTTAAGTTTGTTAGTGTTAACTTATAAAATTTAAAGGGATTATTATATCATGAATTGTAATAATATTTCAATGTACTTAAATCAATGTGCATTTCTTGACATATCCATATGTGCAAACTGATAAACATTATAAAGAAAATAGTACAAGCTTTTAACTGATGTTAATAAGAATCTACCGATCCAATAGGAGTCATTGGGGTTCCCAAAGCCTCTCTTATACTCTGCCCACACTTTGTTAAAACTCACAGCTCCACTAACCCGCTTCTGGATTGCCTAGAGGTTATTGATAGCAATCAAAATTGAGCATAAGTGCCATAGATAAATAATAAAGCCCAATATATTTTAGAATGATAATTATTTCCTTTTATTATTTTATAAAAGAATTCAATGAGTACTATAAAAACCAGAGAAAGAGAGAGAGAGATCGTACTGTCCATCCTCCTCCTTCTGTCTCCATGTCACAATATACGCTGACCTGACTCTGATTATTGGAGGGATTTATTTTATAAACACCAGATCGTTTATCTCCAGGTAGAGAGAGGTCATTACAGTCTTTATTTATTAAACCTAATAAGAAAATAAATAATAAAAAAAAATAATTAGAGAAAACATGTTGGTCATCAGCAAGGTTAAAGATAAAATTTCACGGTCATATCACGGTCACAAAAAAATTAATTGAAGTAAAACCCGAGTGTTAGAAACTTTACTTTTACTATTGCAGTTACAATACTCTAAGGTCTCCAATATAAATATTCATTTGATTGGTAGAAAATGATATATATTAATATATTCGAAGTTATTTGCCGTGCTAAAAAATGTTTGAATATTTTTTTTTCTGTAAATACAGTTACAACAGAGATAGTCTTCATCCTGTCAGACACATGCAGCTCAGTATTCATATTGAAATTTACTATACTGTCGGATTACATGTAACACTTTTATGTTAAGTTTGTGAGTACAAAGACGCAAATTTACACACCGATAAATGCTGTATTAAAAACATCTGATTCTTAATTTTTTCAATGCCAACATTTTAGCTTGATATCTGCTTGAAACCTACATGAGATTTGATTTTTTTGTACAAGCTTATTGTATTGCCTCCCTTAGTGGGAATAGATGCGAGCTTCCTTAGCATTGTGAAAAATACTGAAAGTAAAATGAAACGCATTCTTACATAATAAGCAATTTATGCTTTGACTGATGGGATGAAACCTAGTCGTATGTAAATCTTGGTAACAGTACCAAGAGTTTGGAGTTCAAAATTGTTCAAACCTGAAATGCATGGCGTTACGTAAGAAAAGTTGTAAAAAGTCACAACATTTACATATAAATCATTATTTGTTCAAACACGCATTTTGTAGTACTGCGCTGTGTACTGAAGATGAAAACATCGATTTTTCATATTTGCAGCCAGTGCAAAGTATTTAGAGAAAAAGAAAATTCAAAAATATGGCTTGATTATAACTGTGATACAATATCACCTCAAAGTAGCTGAGATTCCATCAATTGGGTAACACAAATTCACATAATATTTGTACTTAAAAATTAATCCTGTATGTGCCACTCATTATATTGTGTATGATTCATTATAAGTAATTAGGATTTTTAAATATGCTAATTATTAGGGCTGGGCAATAATATCGATATTTCAATATATTGCAATACAATGACAAAAGATATCGTATCGCAATACGATTTTGTAATATCGATATATTGGCAATATGCTTAGATTAAGGAATTTTTACATTAAATATAAAAAATGAACTTCTGAAAGTTTGTTATTAAGCCAAACAGTAATTTAGAATTTGTTTTGTGGGAACATTTCAGAGCATAACTTAAATGAAATAAACAATTTTTTACGTGTTGGTTACTTATCATAGTTATGTGCATTCTGCATGTAAATTAAAGTAAATATAGTAAGAAAATGTCGTTTTAATTACATAGAAAATATTGCAATACATATTGCAATACGGCTAAAAATATCGCAATATATCGCAATACGAACTCTCGGGCCAATACCCAGCCCCCTACTAATTATTTGTGAAATATTGATTTAAAGTTTGAATTGATGGTATTTTTGAGGATGCACAAGACGAAAGACCACCTTTAAGCAATTGCTTAATGGTGGCTTAATGGTGACTTAATGGTGCTTAAAGACGTTAACTCCATTAAGCCACCATTAAGCTGCAACTTACAGGTGCTTAATTTCCAAACTTCATTAAGCTACCATTAAGCCACCTTTAAGCCGAGCTTAATGGTGACTTAATGGTCAAACCTCATTAAACTTTTACGTTTTACACATTTTATATCGAATCTTTGATCTAACTTTTAAAGTTAATTTCAATGTCATTTATGCAAAATCTATTTTTTTGTGTTTTATAATTTTGTCTCGATCGTAATTTTTTAATAACATTTCTGTCAACATGCAAAATCTCGGGCACTGAGAATAAAATTAGCTATTAACACATGTAACAGGGGCTTGCTCCCGGTTTCTAATATTTTATTTTAATCATTTACAGTATCAATAAAAAAGAAATTTTATCTTATTACCGCATATGATTTTCTTAAATAAATAATTATTGCATACGTTGTTTTTATTATTTGTGTATATGATTTTTATTTAAAAAGATAAATAATTAGATTATTACACGCCGGGGCCAACCCCCTGTGAAATATCTTAATTTCTCACTACCGAAAATCAATCTGTTCTTAAAATTATCTTTATTTTAAACACCAAATATAATTATATTACTTTTTAAAAAAAAAGGAGATGGTATTTTTATTTCATGTGTTAAAAACAACATATTCTGCTACATAATTCCCCGGAATTATAAAGTCATTTTCTCATTAGAAAAAAAAATTTGTCTTTTTTTTTTGGACGGGGGGGGGGGGGGGGGGGGGGGGGGGGGGGGGGGGGCTGGGGCCACAGATATAAAAAAATGTTTAGTTTTCAAAGTTTGACTAAACAATGTTTAATTTTCAAAGTTTGACATTTACATCATGAATAATTTGAATTACATCGTTATTGTTTTTTTTTATAATGCAGTGGTAAGTATTTGTCAAAATCTAGTCGGTCTTCAATCATTGTTATTTCAAAATCGATTTTCAGAAGAACAGCCGATCAGATTAAACATGACATCCGACCAGATTTATACACATTGGGAAACGGGTTAAGATTAAAAGTGTACAGTACCGACTGGTTAAACAATAGACCTTAATTAGGTGTCCACCGTCCGCGGTCAACTAACAGAAAACTATACATACACAACGTCGTACACTAACAGATTTTGATGATCATTTATTTTGACAAACTTTAAATTTAATGCAAGCATATAAAAAATTAAAAATTATGATTCATTGTAAAATGACAATTATTTTGATACCCATTATGATACAAAAATAATTTTAACTGAATATGATATTCGAAAAAAAGTTTTTGTAAACAATAACCAGGTAACTCGTAAAGGAGGATTGTCGGTAGGCCTAAATCTTAGATACAAAATCCGTTAATATCCGCCGAATATTTTATTATTTTAAAAAAAATTCAACTGACTTTCCCGATAATTTTTATGTGTTTTATCTATAATTAATTTAATTTCAATCTTGATTTAATGCTTACACTTATTAATTTTCAAATAACAAAGCGAATTCATTACATCAATCTAAAAGCCGAACTCAACGGGTTAGAAATATTATTGTGATATAAGATTTTTAAAAAGACCCGTAAATAAAATTGTTTACATTTTGATTAATAAATCAATTCAAGACTTTGGAAACGTTCAACAAAATGAATACTTTTACAAGTCCAAATAAATTTTGTAAACAATACATGTTTAATATTTTCATTTAGAAATCAAGCGCGGAATTAGCCCAATGGTTAAGGTGTCTGTGACCGACTTCCGGTTTGCATATTGTAGTGAGCACGAAGGAATTAGGCTCCGCATAAATTGACCTTTTGTGTCAACTGTAAATAGTGAATTCTTGTCTTCTACGTGTTAGTGGGAGGCATAGTGTATATATGTTCATATTTTGTTAGTTTTTGACTTGAACATTGTAAACTATTGAACATTTAAAGAGTGTTCGAGATGCCTGCCACGTCAAGTGGCGGCCATCTTGGAGGATCCAATAATTTGAACCCATTCAAGGATAGAAAGTATTGTAAAGAGAACACCGTTATTGTGAATGTCAAAGATAACTCTAATGTGAGAGCTGATGAAATAATCAACTTCATTGGCGTCGGAAGCAAATTGAAAGTGGGGGGGCTAAGTGTAAAAAAAATTTTTTTTGTACCTTCAAAAAATCCTGACAAGCAAAAAAAATAAAAAAAAAAAAGGAAATGTCTTTTCCCCAAACACGAAAATCCTATTTCGTGGGGGGGGGGGGGGGGGGGGGGGGGGGGGGTAGGGTCGAACTCTAGTACCAAAAATTTTTTTCCAAACAACACCACTTTCGCAATTTTTAACCTATGCTAAGACGTATCTGTGGAAAGTGGGGGGGGCTTAACTTACGAAAATATGTTCAATTTCTATACTAAGTATATATTGGGAAAAAAAGTGGGGGGGCTAAGCCCCCCTAGCCCCCGGTTCCGACGCCTATGAACTTCATTCACGAAAATTGTGGTATTGGGTCCCTTTACGCATGTGTGCCAAAGTCTGGTTATTTGTATGAGATAACTCTAGACGGAAAAGCACCAACACAATATTTGTTGGAAGGAATAAAGATTGGAAATGAAGTTTTTCAGTCCTATGAAGTGATTCAATCTACCATTATCGTACGTTTTCTCCATCTGCCGGCTTACATTGAAGATAGTGAAATCGAACAAACACTAAATACAATGGATGTGGAAATTCTATCGCCTGTAAATAGACGATTTTACCCGGACACGACCATAGCGGATGGGACCAGGTATGTAAGGGTGAAATTCCCTCCTAATATGAAATTCCCTCCTAATATATATTGGGTACATCCCACTAATTATTTTTAGAATCGGTAGGAGAAGAAAGTAGTGCAGAAAAAATTACAAGTTCCTTAAATTGCAGACTTGCATAAAAAAAATTGGGCAGGTGTACTGAACTGAGCCTCACACTTGTTGATAAGGAGTATCTTTCCTACCAAAAAAGCTTTGAAAATGTAATTTATCAAGAAGATCAGCCGAATTATTTTGTGTATTATAACGCCAGTGAGAATTCTGAAATCCCCTTACTTTCACTTTCATTTTTAGAGGTTCCCGCAGACAGACGCATTTTGCCGGAAAACGAATCTGACATGCCACCTCGAGATTTTAACCAAGGAAAGACAAGTTGATGTGTTTTGATTTGAGGGGTCACTCACTACCGAACGAAAATTAGAGACATCGCTATGAGAAGAAATGTTAACATTGTCGCCTATGGGAAAACAATTAGTGGACTGTACCCATATTAGGAAGCCTATAAGTAAGTGAAAGATGTCATAAATCTTGAATTTATTTCAAAGTTGTTGTTTTCTATTATTTTCAATTGTTCAAATTTATGAAAAAAACAATTCTTATATTGTTGATACACATTTTTAAACAAATTGATTCATAAATAAAGTGTCTAGCCCCCCCCCCCCCCCCCCCCCCGGAACAGTCAACATGTATCACCCATTGTTTACACATGTATCATGTAGATTAAATGTATCGATTTATATAATTTATTTATTCAGAATCATAAATGTATAATTTGATTAAGAAGCAATTATGTAGAAGTACATGCTCCACTGTGGTTTATTTTCAATACACAAAAATTCACAAATGAGTTCGGGATCGGTATTCAATCGGGGTCAAGGTCGAAGTGAAAGTAGACTTAGCAGAAAGTTATCAAAACTGTTCAGGGCAATGCTAAGCAGTATATAGGTGATCATATGGGCATTTGTATTTTACACAGGAGGTAAGAGGTATACCCTAGTACAATATTTGTAAATAACAATTTAATGTTTTTGGAACATGTCGATGATCGGCGCGTCACATATGCATACTTGACATACATCATTTCAGATCAGTTGCGCGGTCAAGCTGGGTACAGTTGTCTGGGAGTTAAACGATGTGTGTGAACATGCACGTTAACTGATTTTTCTCATATTTTTCAGCATTTGCATTACATGTATTTGTTCAATGTTCAATTATTGTCAGTAAAACATGATTTTTACCTAATTCTGCTGAATTAACTTAATTACCAATGTAAACAGTGTGATTTCAGGTGGGAGCAAATTAATCATTTTTTAAATTAATTAATTTCAAGTAATGGGCATAAAAGGAATATGGTAGAAATTGTACGTGTTGAATGTCTGTGTGTCTGTCTGTCTGCAAATGTGATATTGTACCATTTATTGTATTGATTTTTTTTTTTTTAGGTTTATGGTGATTGGTACAGGAAAAACATGAGGTCCATGCAGATGGTGTTTAAAACTATTGGCCAGCAAATGCACACCCATTTGAATACATCTTGAAAAAGAACCAGCAAAATGTGACAGTCGGCAAAATATGTAAGTTTAAGTTTTCTAAAAAAAATTTCATTAAAGTGGGGGGATTGGGTGGGGGTGAGGAAATTTACATATTAAATAGGTATCAGAATGTGAAAGTATTTAGCTATAACTAATCTGTACATGCACTGCTATATATATGTATACATTTTGCAGCTCATATAGATTTTCTTTTCTTATTTAAGATTTTCAAATTAATTAGATCTACATCTTTGTTTTGTGAATTATGCATTATTAAGATTACACGGATATAAGAATTGAAATTTCATGAATATTTGACAGTCAAAATTATGCGATTTGTCAGGAAATTCAAAATTTTGTCTCATTTTCCTACAAATTACAAAATGGTTACCATGGAAACAAAACAACTTTAGTGAACTATTTATTTAATCTGCAACACCACATATTTTTATTTTTTAAAGTAAATAATAGTATATAAGCACTGATTTTGTCTTAAATGAAAAGTACGGGAAAAGTAATGATACACATGTATTGAGCTATCCATTATTATGATGTCATTGTGACGTCATAGATGAGTAAATTTGCATTGGTATAAAAATTGCTTTGAAACAAATGATTCTATATAGGATTATAAAGGCTTATAACTTTTTCATTCATAGTCCAAATTTCATGAATGATACATCAATGGACAGGAAATAATAAGTACTTTTTTATTTTACTACTTTCGGGGTATTTGTGAACTTCATTTTTTTGTCATTTCTGGAGAAACTATGGATTAGAGGGTGAAAAGTGGTCATATTTTGTGCGGAAATACATTAATTTTTTAAAAAAAGTGAAATTGACCCAATTAAGTGCTTGATTATGATTTGACTATATGTATTTAAAGATATGAAGGTGATTAAGAATGGTATAAATGTGTTAATAGGCTAAAATTTGACTCAAAACTTGGGTGCAGTTTTGGCTAGATTGGAGCATTTTTTAAGGATATTACACATAGAACTGTAAATGCTGTAAAATCTTAATTAATTGTTGAATTTTCATGAAACTTGGCATGATGTCTCTACTTATGCTCTAGATTGACAAACAGTGTGAAATATTGTAAAATCCAAAAAATGCTTTTTCATATTGGGTACATCCCACTAATTATTTTTAGAATCGGTAGGAGAAGAAAGTAGTGCAGAAAAAATTACAAGTTCCTTAAATTGCAGACTTGCATAAAAAAAATTGGGCAGGTGTACTGAACTGAGCCTCACACTTGTTGATAAGGAGTATCTTTCCTACCAAAAAAGCTTTGAAAATGTAATTTATCAAGAAGATCAGCCGAATTATTTTGTGTATTATAACGCCAGTGAGAATTCTGAATTTCCCCTACTTTCACTTTCATTTTTAGAGGTTCCCGCAGACAGACGCATTTTGCCGGAAAACGAATCTGACATGCCACCTCGAGATTTTAACCAAGGAAAGACAAGTTGATGTGTTTTGATTTGAGGGGTCACTCACTACCGAACGAAAATTAGAGACATCGCTATGAGAAGAAATGTTAACATTGTCGCCTATGGGAAAACAATTAGTGGACTGTACCCATATACATTGAAGTTCGGCAAAGAATATTACCGATGTATACACAACGGTCAAATAAAAGTGTGTTCGCTGTGTTATGCTAGCGATCATTTATTTAGGGCATGTCCACAAATCACCTGTTTTAAATGTAAACAACAAGGTCACTACGCTCGAGTGACTCACAAATGCCATTGTCGCTTGAGTGATCACAGTTACGACAATAGTAGTGGAAATTCTGAGGTCGAGGACGGAGAAAACTTATCGAATATGGAAGCAGATGAGGCACACGAAAGGGAAGTAGACGTCGACGTTATGGAAAAGGATACCGAGATGACGGAAAAGAACGAAACAGGATTGATTCAAGACAAAGAAATAGAAACTTCACGGGAAGTAAGTAAAACCATCGATCCAAGAGAACTCATCGGCAAAAATAGAGGAAAATACAGAAAGCGTTGAGCAAGAGGAAATGTGTACCGCACAGGGCCCCAACAAGTGCGCACAAGAAAGTGAAGCGATTAACAATAATGATCAAAAGTTGGGTAGAGAATTGTCAGAGGAACAACTTTCAGACACAGACACCGGAAATGAGGTGGTTATCACCGGAAAAAAGAAAAGAAAGAAGAAAGTAAAAAAGAAAGTTAAGGTAAAGAAAAATAAATAGAAATGGAGATGTTACCTTCTTTCTTTTTCATTCTAATAGTTTTGATCACCTCCTGGAATTGTAATGGATTAAGCAATATAGATAAAATGAAAAATGTTGTCAAATTTTTTGAAGAAAAAAATTTGACATTATTGCATTGCAAGAAACTCATTGGGACGTTGACTTAATTCAAAATTACAAATATATATGGAACGGAAAAATTATATACAGTAATTTTGTTGGGCCAGCCAGAGGTGTAGCTTTTTTAATAAAGAATAATATCAATTCGAATGTAGATTTTGTTCAAAGTTTTGATGGAAGATTTTTACATGTAAGATATAGAGAAAATGGTGAAATTATTGACATCATCAACATATATGCACCAAATGATACTAAAGAAAGAACAATGTCTTTTCAAAGAATTTTGAAAGTTATACCTGTTACAAAAAATCTTATAATTATGGGAGATTTTAATAACACACTTAGTGAAGATAATAGATGTGGAAAAACCAGTCATAAATATGACTAGAGTTATAAAGCATTGATAGAAATAATGAACAAGTTTCATGTTATTGATATATGGAGAAAAAGAAACGAAAGAGAGCTTGTATTTTCATGGAAACGTATTATTGAAGAGAATCTTATACAATGCAGAATTGATTATATATTGGTCTCTAACGATCTACGTATGTTTGTTAAGAATATTATGTATTCAAATACATCTTTTAGTGATCATTCAATGGTAGTTTTATACTTTAGTACTGATGTGTGTGAAAGAGGCCAAGGTGTATGGATTCATAATAATTCTTTATTGTCGGATGATATATATACAAACAAAGAATAATAGAGATTATTGAACAGGAAAAGTGTTGTCAGTTATATAATAATTCATTATTAGTTTGGTGGGATAATTTGAAATATAAGATAAAGAAATTTTCACAATGTTATAGCAAGACGAAAGTAAAGGAAAAGAATAGAGAATTTTATAGAATTAAAAATGCTTTACAGAGAATGTCCCAAAATATTGCAAATGGTAGTAACACTGATATAGAAAAATATGAAGCATTAAAAAAGGATTTGGCAGAATTAGAAAATGAAAAATGCAGAGGAGCTATTTTGGGGTCTAAAGCTTAATGGGCAAATGAGTCAGATAGATGCACAAAGTATTTTTTGAATCTAGAAAAGAAGAGACAAGAGTCTAATACAGTTAAAGAATTAATTGATGAGGATGGGATAATTAAGAATGACACTGATTCTATTTTAAATTTACAGTATCAATTTTATTCTAATCAATATTCTTCAGTTACAATTGAAAGTGAAAGTAAGGACAAGCTTTTATCTTTTGTTGACAAAAAACTTAATGAAACAGATGTTGACATGTGTGAACAGGCTATTGACTGTGATGAAATAGATAAGGCTGTTAAAGGAATGTCAAATAACAAAAGTCCAGGTTCAGATGGGTTAACTGTTGAATTTTACAAAATGTTTTACCACAACTCTCGTCTGTTTTATTTGAAATTTTTTAAGAGATAGAGATGCAAGGACATTTGTCACATTCTATGAAGATGGGTATTATTACATTGATATACAAGAAAAAAGGTGACAAACGATGTTTAAAAAATTGGAGACCAATTAGCCTACTTAAGGTCAAGATCTAGTAAATGAAAGATGCCTACAGATTTAACAAACTTGAGAAATAAATTCCTTTATTTATACTTTACAACTTTAGCTTGGTCGAATAAGGTGTTTCGGGGCATAATTTGTAGGAAAACAAGATGAAAAACTGTATTTTAAACTATCATTTTCAATGAAAAAATAAGAAAACCAGTCATGAATATGGGAGTTTTTTTCGTATTCGGCACAGGAAATGTATCCAGATTGCCTACAGTCTCTCAGAAAACGGTAATTAGTATGTTCATGGCCTCTTCTTAAAATCAATATCAAATTTAATGTAGGTATCCGGTTTACTTTTCATATGATTTCAAATTGAATGACATGAAAATACCCTATTTTCTACATAATTCTGCTAAAGCCGTAAATTACGGGAAAAAGAAAGTTGAAATTGATTATGACGTCATAATGGATCTAGCACCAAAAAATCAGTCTCAAGTTATTTACTAGATCTTGACCTTAATGTTGACTATTAGATAATAGCGAGAGTGATGGCCAATAGGCTAAAATTTGTATTGCCAAACATTGTATCAGAAAATCAAACTTGTTGTGTTATTGGTAAAGATATTGCTGATACGTTGATCAGTATGAGATATTATAGATATGGTTGGAATGGATAATTTAGAAGGATATATGATTAAAATAGATCAAGAAAAGGCTTTTGACAGAGTAAGTCATGTTTATTTATTTGATGTTTTGAAAGTTTTTGGATTTGGACCAATTTTTAGAAAATGGATTAGTATATTCTATACAGATATTTACAGAAGTGTAAAGAGTAATGGATTTTTAACCAAATATTTTCCGATTAAAAACTCTGTTAGACAAGGTTGTCTTATTTCTGCATTATTGTATGTATTTTCATCGGAACCTTTAAGTTGTTATATAAAAAGTAATACAAGCATTTTAGGAATTCCTATACCAAATGTCTAATGAATGTGCATTGATGTTTCAACATGCTGATGACACAACTCTGGCAACATGTGAGAAGAAATCTATTTTTTGAAATTTTGAAAATGTTTGATTTATATGGAAAAGCTTCTGGTGCAAAAATCAACAAACAAAAATCTGAAATAATGTGTATTGGAACTGCAAAGTTATTGAAGCATGAAAAAGATTTACTATGTATTTCAGAAACAAATGTAATGAAAATTTTATGTATATATTTTGGAAAGAACAAACAGGAATGTGAAAACCTTAATTGGAGAGACAAAGTGCAGAAAAAAAAAATAATTATTAATTTTTTGGAGATTAAGAAAGTTAACAATTCAAGGAAGGGCAATAGTTATAAATACATTATTTATGTCAAAATTGTGGCATTTTTTAAGTGTGAAATCAAAGCCTAAATGGGCTATAGAAAGTATTTATAGGGAATGTACACACTTTTGGTGGAATTATGGTAAACATTTAGTCGCATACAAAACGATAATTGGAGAAAAAAGGGAAGGTGGTTTGAATGTTATTGATATATATGTTAAAATGTTGGCCTTCAGACTGAAGATTTTAGAAAAAGATTGGTGCAATAAAAAAAAACTTTTTATGGAAGTTAACATGTAGGTATTTTTTGTTAAAAATTTGTGGTTTGAGAGCCGGATATGGATTATTTTTATTGAGATTTAATAAGAAAGATCTTCAGTTTCTTCCTCAGTACTATAAGGAGATGATGGAAGCATGGTGTGCTATAGAAGATAGTATAGAATATAAGAAAGATAAGAATGATAATATGATTATTGTTTATTTTGTAATCCACAAATTGTTACAAATAGTAAGATGTTGAAATGGGATCTTTTTATAAGATCAGGTATTTCGCATGTAAAAGACATTACTTATGAGGTTATACCTGGTTTTCTACCTGTTTCCTGTATTATAGAAATTATTCAAGGGGAGAATCCTGATATAGATGTCAAAACTATCAAAGACAATTATATTTGTTTGAAATCAGTAATTCCAGATGAATGGAGAAAATATGTTTGTGAAACTGAATATACAAGAAATAATTTTGTACCTGATTTTCGAATCAAATTCAAAGATCAAAATATTGCATTCAATTCCTGTACTGTACGGATATTTTATAGATTACTTATTGCAAAGCTTTTTTACACCCTGTTTCAGACCAATTCTGGTGTAATAAATTTCAAATGGTTAATCAAAATGACATAAAACAAAGATGGTTGATTTTATGGGAACCATTTAAACCGCCAGATATTATAGAAATAGACTTTAAAGTTTTTCATAATATTATCTTTACGAATGAAAAATTATCTAAAATCGGGAAGATCAAATCTAAAGTTTGTGCTCTTTGTGAATCAGGTACTGAGGACATGTTTCACCTATTTTTTAGAATGTAAAGAACTACAAGATTTTAAGAAGAATTTTGTTATATATCATCTAGAATCGTTCTTGAAAGACTGTGAAAATAGTGTATATAATACCTTGAATTTTGAAAATATTTTTCTAAACGGTTTTTCAATGATACTCAAACATGTCAATATTTTCTTTCTGAATTTTTTTTCTTTCAATGTGTAGAATTTCAATTTACAAAAGAAGACAAATATATTTACAAAGTGCCAAGTTATGGACGATTTCCTGATTTTAAAATGCAATTTTGTCGCCCCTTTTTTTCGAAAATAGCTAAAGTTATAAACTGGAAACTTATTGGAGACAATGTTCGTGACTTTTAGGTTAGCAGAATCACCTTTTTG